GCCCCGGAAAAAATGGCCCCAGAAAAAATGGCCCCGGAAAAAATGGCCCCGGAATAAATGGCCCCGGTAAAAATGGCCCCAATATGACAGGTAGGTAAAAATGGCCCCAATGAAAAATTTGGTAATAGAAATGATATATTTTTTTTTTAATCTTCAAATATTTAAATACTATATATTTAGTTATGTAATCAGAAACTACAGTTACACCTTATTTTACGGGAACCTTAATTTGTTTATTTGTTATTTCATTTGTTTTATGAAATGACAATAATAATAATTATTAGTAATAATAATAATAATATTGGCAATAAATTGTTACAATACTGTAACTTACAAAGCAACTTTTAAAAAATAGTAACATTGCATGCGTTAAAAAAGATGCTGTTAAATTAGTATCAGAAACTTCTTAGTTAGGAATACATACAGTACAGTAAAATGTACAATAGTCAGCGAGTTCTTAAAACAAGGTATAAATAAAGTCTCCCCTTGGGTAGCATCTTTTTAAAGAAAATCATTAATTTCATTAAAAAAACACAAGTTACTGATTGATTAAATAATTCTATTTTAAATAAGAAATGATTATGCACAGTAAAGGTAACATAGGACAACATTTAAAAGATCATTATGATATTAGTGATACTGAAACTGTTAATTATTTCAAGGTGCAAATCCAAGTTTGATTGCTTAATTAAATAAATGCTTTGGATCAAAGAACTGAAACCTACACTTAACAAACAGATTCAGTCAAAGCCAAACTGTTTATCTAGTTAATCTGCTGAGAAGGGCTGATTATTGCTTAGCTCCACTGTGGCTCCACACAGTAGGCCCTATTGATATGTAAATTAATTACTTTCTTCCTGTCACTGCTTGGTATTTTTGTTTTTAGTTTTTTCAATTTACTTGATCTTGAGAATGGTTCCATGATGGACCCGAAACGTCGATCTTTCTTGTCATTAAATTTTGTTTTGAGATTATGTTCTTAATTGATTCAATAAATAAAAGCCAAAAATAATAATTTGATTTACTAAATTTCATTATATAAAAATAGTTTTAAAAAAAGCCTATGACCTTCCTAAAGTTAGATGCGAAAGGTCAAAACGTTTTATTATTAACTGTGGTCTTTTCAATAATTGGTAGACTGAGAATATCCTGGTAACGCTTTTCCTAAACTTTTTAAATTTTTTGTTACTCCTATTCATAGGAAATTGTAAATATATCCTATTTTATTCTCTCTTCGGTGAATTTAATTTTTTTTTTGTGTGTGTGTGTTTTCTTAGCCTATTGTTAAACTTCAATTTTTTTTATGATAAAAAATTGCAATAAAGCTTCTCGTATCGTATTAGTTATGCTTTAACATAGATTAAAAATATGTTACGCCTTACTTATTTTTAATCTATGGTCTTTTTAATTAATTTTCTTTTATTTTTTTATTGGAAATTCCGTAGTACAGAGTAAATTTATCAAAATTTACAGTAATATGAAAAAAAAATGTATCTAAAATGATCTCAGTTTCCAAAGTTAAAGCAAAAGATCTAATCTAAACACAAAATATTAGGCAGGATGTATTTGTTTGAAAGAACCCAATCTTTTGTGAAATTAAGAGGTTTATAGGTGAAAATTGTAAATTTAGAAATAAGTTTTATTTTTTCCTTTGAACTGAGATCAATATGTGATTTTTTTAAATTTCTTTAAAAGCATTTGTTTTTTAACAATTACAGCAGATCATTTTTTTTTTTAACAATTACAGCAGATGCAAATAATGTTCTGAGAGATAATCGAAAAACAATGGCCATTGAATAACATTTTTTGATAGTAGAAATAAAAGTTTTAAAAACGTTATTCACTAACAAAGTAGAAGAATGACATACAGTATACAATACTTCAACTACTATTTAACTTTTGTTAAATATCAAATGAATTAACTTTACATGTTATAAACAGTGCAAATAAACAGTAGTTAAAGCATGTGGATCAGTTGTGTGTTTGAATCACAAGTTCATGTATGGGAAAAGGGAGAGGCTTACTTTCTCGCAAACTTAGCAATAAATTATCTGCTTAGAGATTATTCAAAGAATTAGTGCTTTTAGTAAACTGAATAATTAGGAATACATTTATTTAAGCAACTAATTTAGTTGCATACTTGGTTTTTACTCATCACTAACTAAATCCAAGTGCCTACTACTGGCTTAGAATTATATATAGTTATGTATGGCAATTATGCTAAGAATTAAAATGGCGTGTGATTGTGAGGGTAGGGTGATTATGGTAGGATTAAGTGGTATTGCTAAATCCCACAAACCTCCCAAAGCACACTGTAGAAAATCAAACAATTCAATTGTGATTGACTGACTTGGTATATCAATAAGAAAATTAAATACATTTATAACTATTTTTTGGTTAAAATTTAGATTTTTTATGAAAAAATACTTGCAAATACACCACAAACCTCTAAACACACTGCAAACCCCATTTAAACCATAAAATTATGATTATAGAACTCTCTTTTTCTTAAAAAAAAAAAATAATTTGATGTTCATACTAACCCACTGTTTGTGGGGTTTACCAATTTCAAGGAAGCGGAATCACAATTTTCCAGAAATTCAATCCGGGTATTGGTAAACCCCACAAACAATGAGTTTATATGAACATCAAATTTTTATTATTTTTTTTTTAGAAAAAGAGAGTTCTACAATCGTAATTAAAGGGTTTGGATGGGGTTCGCA